GCCTTTGGATTCTTCTAGAATTTTTATGGTTTCCTGTCGTACATTTAAGTCCTTTATCCATTTTGAATTTATTTTTGTGTATGGTGTAAGTTGGTGGTCTAGTTTCATTTTCTTGCATATATCTGTCCAATTTTCCCAACACCATTTATTGAAGAGACTATCTTGGCTCCATTGTATGTTCTTGCCTTTAGGAGGTTTTCAATTATGGATTTAATGATTTTAATAATCAAAGACCCATTCAAATATTCTTTTACTCTGGAGTCAGTTTTTATAAATTGTATTTTTCTAAGAATTTTTTATTACATTTAAAGTTTCAAAGTTATTGATGTACAGTTATTCATAAATAATACCCTTTTATCTTTTAATGTCTGTAGTGGTGTTGTCCTTTTTTTCATCCTTGGTTATATGCTCTCATTCTCCCTCTCTCTCTTTCAGCATTTAATCAGCATTGCCAGGGGTTTATTAGCATTATTATTAAATGTTTTCAAAGAAACAACTTTTGTTTTAGAATTTGAAATTTGTGTATCTTTTTGATGATTTGAGCCTTTTGTTGTTAATCCTCACCTGAGGATATTTCTTCCATGGCTCTTCAGAAAGAGTATAAGGGAGTGAGAGAGGAAGAGAGAAAGAAACATCGATGTGAGAGGGACACATTGACTGGTTGCCTCCAGCACACAACAAGGGGTGGAAGCAGACTCTCAACCCTTCAGTGCACAGGCCAATGCTTTAACCACTCAGAAACACTGACCCGGGCAATTTGAGCCATTTAACCTTATAAAATATGTATGCCTACTAATAATTTTATTATAAATTCTACTTTGTGTGATATTAATACATCTATACCAGCTTTTTGTTTATTTGTTTTTAGTGTTTATATGGTATACTTTTTCCACACTTGAACATAAACCTTGCTATATTCTTACATTTTAGATATATATCTCTTCTAAGTAGCCTATATTTTAATACAGTCTGACATATTTGCTTCGAACTTGAGGGATTTTTTTTCATTCTTTTACTTTCAACCTACTTGTACCTTTGAATCTAAATTGTCTCCTATAGACAACACATAGTAGTAACATTTTTTTATTAATTCAATCTGACAATCCCAATAAGAGAATATTATTACAAATTTATGTCAATATATTTGAAAATCTAAATAAAGTGGATGCTTTTCTATAAGAAATATATGCAGCCCTATGTTCATAGCAGCACAATTCACCATAGGTAAGATTTGGAAACAGCCTAAGTGCCCATCAACAGATGAATGGATTAAAAAACTGTGATACATTTATACAATAGAATACTAGGCAGCTGTAAAAAAAAAAAAAAAAGAAAGAAAGAACTCTTACCATTTGCAACAGCATGGATGGACCTGGAGAGCATTATACTAAGTGAAATAAGCCAGTCAGAGAAAGATAAATACCACATGATCTCACTCATACGTGGAATCTAACAAACAACGTAAACTGATGAACAAAAATAGATTCAGAGACATAGAAGCACCTGATTTCTTAGGATATATTCCTAGAAGTGGGATCACCGGGTCAAACGGGCGTTCCATGACTTTCTGTAGCCCTTTTAGCTGTGCTAAGCCCCGCCTAGCCGTGTATATTTGTTTACTCTCCCGGTGACTGGTGAATGCATGCTTTTACTAGACCTACTCAGTATATATTTAAAATTACAGTAATACATATAGAAAACTTTTCTTTGAAATTAAACTTTTCATACAGACTGAGTTTTAATGACACAAATATGTCTACATAAATAAAACCAGGTAAACTAATTTGTCAACTTTTTAAAAAATATTTTTATTGATTTCAGAGAGAGGAAGGGAGAGGGAGAGAGAGATTGAAACATCAGTGATAAGAGAGAATCATTGATTGGCTGCCTCCTGCACGCTGCCTACTGGGGATCGAGCCCATAACCCAGGCATGTGCCCTTGACTGGAATCAAACCCAGGACCCCCCAGTCCACAGGCTTATGCTCTATCCATTAGCCAAACTGGATAGGGCTAATTTGTCAACTTTTTAACAACACATTTGGAAAACCTACTTTATTATATAACAGATTTTCGGCTTTAACAGACTCCCCCTCACTTGAATTAATCAATTATATCAAGGTTTTACTCTATTTCCTCTATATTGGCTGCAGACAGAAAATATAACTTTTAAAATATACCATTTATAATAGAATACTTTGCTTATTTTAAATAAGATACTTAGAAATAGCCTAACAAAGATGTTTATGGTGAAATTATAAAATGTTATTTAAAAGCACATGAAAGAGGACCTAAATAAATGGTGACATGTGTCATATTCCTGGCTAGGAGACAATATCACAAAGATCTCAAATTCCCCAACTTAATCTATATTTTAATACAATTTCAGTAAAATGCTCAACAGGATTATTCATGGAACTTGATAAGCTGACCCTACCATGTCCGTGGAATAGAAAAGGAAAATGAATAGCCAAGACAGTTTTCAAGAACAACAAGCTAGAGTCACTCTCTGAGGCAGCAAGACTTAACTGTAAAGTCAGAGTGGTCAAGACAATGTGGTCTACTAGGAATAGAATGAAATGGCTAGTGTGAGATCCACACATGTATGGGAAAACAGTTATAGATGAAGATGGACTATTTAATAAATTTGGTTATCTATTAATAAAATTGGTTATCTATACAGAAAAGGAGAAAGCATATTTCTACCTCATATGGAGTACAAAAATATATTACAGATTCATGGGTTATTATGAAAAACAAAATTTTACAACTTTTAGAACAGAGGAGAATTTTTTTATGACCCATAATATAGAAGAATATTTTAAACAAGATGCAAAAACAAACAAACAAAAAAAACATAGAGGAAAACTTTATAAAATTATTATAAATTAAAAATAAAAAATCAGAAAAAAAATTATAAATTTGGCCACATTGAAAATTAAAACTTAGATTCATCAAAACACACCATAAATAAAGTTAAAGACAAGCAAGCCACAGACTGGAAGGTCTTGTGATGCATATAACTGAAAAAGATTAATATGAAAAATATAGACAGAATCCTACAAACAAACAAGACAAATAGCCCATGAGACAAGAATATGAACATGCAAGTCAACAGAAGATGAAATAAAAATCTCAACACATTAGTCATTTTAAAACAAAATTAAAACAGCAGTGAAATATTTTATACCCATCACATGAGCAACATATTTTTTTAATTCACTAATAGAATTAAAAAATCTAAACACATAGAAACAGGGAATGCAAAAGTGGTTTCCAGGAGAGAAATAGGAAGAAGTTGGTAAAAGGGTACAAACCTTCAATTTTAAGGTGAATTAGGTCTGAGGATCTGATGTGACACATGGTGACTATAGTGATAATACGGTGTTGCAAGGGGCCGGGGATGGGGCCAGACATGTGGGCTTGAATCCATGGGTGTTGGGTTCTCTTGCCTCTCTGCCCCAGGTGTGCCACTGGGGAGGCGTGGCAGGACATTATGCTGGCCTGCATGCCAGGGAAGAAGTGCGCCCCGGAGTCTGAGCCCCACAACAGCACGGAAGGGGAGGCGCCCTGTGGCAGCAGCTTCGCCGTCTTCTACTTCATCAGCTTCTACATGCTCTGTGCCTTCCTGGTAAGCTGGAGTTGGACTAAATAGCCACAGGGAATGAGCGAGCAGGTCGGGTGGGGCAGCTTGACCCTGCCATCTCCAAAGCTCATGGCAAGGGCGACCCCGCCGAAGAGCTGCCGTGGAAAGATTGAGTTGGCAGGAATGTCCAACCACACTGAGACAAGGACAAAAAGCCTGAGCCAGAGTGACCGCAGCCGGCATCTCTCTTGTCCATTCTTGGCTTTTGTCATGGTGGCATTGTCCCAGAGGACAGGGAGATGCCTGTGGAGACCTAGAAGCAACTTAGACATTTTTGACCCTTTGATTGGAGAAGGAGGGAAAGGTGGCAGATAAAGTTGCCCTCTCTTCTTGGCAGCCCTGCCCAGCAGCCTAGGAGGGAAGCTGTTCAGCCCACATGTGGGTTCAGCACACACAATTCTGAGGGGAGCTGTGTTATGATCATATCCAAGAGGCCCAAGTTTCAGGGACTGGTGGTGTAAATGGTGACATATGGCTGGTCTTTAGAAATGTCGGTTTCTGCCATGCTGGCAAAGTGGATTCAAGTGGAAGTGTGTAAGAAGGTCCTCTTAGGCAACTCATCATACTCTCTGTTCTCTGCAGATTATCAACCTCTTTGTAGCTGTCATCATGGACAACTTTGACTACCTGACAAGGGACTGGTCAATCCTTGGTCCCCACCATTTGGACGAATTTAAAAGAATCTGGGCAGAGTATGACCCTGAGGCCAAGTAAGTTCCCAGGCGGAAATTCTGATTCCCGAAGCCAAGAGGGAGGGTTGCACAACCATACCTATAGGAGAGGGTCTAGATGGGTTAGTGTGGGGTGCGTCCACTGGAAACACTGAATTGTACCAGGCATCAGGGTCCAGGGTCAAGGACCAGCAGTAGGAAGCCAGGCACTTTGATTAAGTCGTGAATATATCTGCAATTTGCAGTTGAATGGAAAGATAGAAGATCCTAGGGTTTGGAATAACTGGTAGATATTCAAGTTAGGATGAATAGGACCAGGTACATCTCAACTCCTTTCCTGCCTCAGTCCAAGGATACCTTTTTTAATCAATCACGTTTGGTTAACACTCAATAAATACCTTTTGGTCAGGTGGTTAGTTGACTGAAGCAGCAAGTACATGTTGAGAATTTCATGGCACTGCTAAATCCTTCCATTTTGAACATACACCACTGGATGGCTCACTAAAACCTAAACATGTATATATTGGTTTTGGAGTTTTACCATGCAGTTCTGTAGCTCTGCACTGAGTTTGACCAATAGGACTCCAGCTATGGAGAGTCCCTACTATAGGTGGGCCCCCACCTCTCAGGAACATGAGTCCTGGCCCGCTGGCTAAGACCATGGCTCCTGGCTGGCCTTTCCCTCCTCCTCTTCCTCTCCTAGGGGTCGTATCAAACACCTGGATGTGGTGACCCTGCTCCGGCGGATTCAGCCCCCACTGGGCTTTGGGAAGCTGTGCCCTCACCGAGTGGCTTGCAAAGTAAGAGACAACCTGGGTTCATGGGGAAAAAAGAGAAAATGTGGGAGGCAAGATGCCTGTTTGTCTTGTAACCTTGGTCAGGCCAGTGCTTTAAGGGAGTGAAGACAGTGTGTTATGTGCCTAAAGAAATGAGCCTGAGCCAGGTTATATTTTAAGGTTCCTTCCAGCAATAAGTTCTCAGCCTCTATAAAGGAAAAGCGAAGTGAATGCCTCATGTCCCAGTGAGTCCTTGCCAACTCCTGAGTAAAGGCCCTTGTTCAGAGCACACTGTGCCACCTAGGCAACCTCACAGACTCCCATCTAGGAGGGTGGATTAGGGTGCTCTCCTAGGATCACAGGGCCAATAGAAGGTCCATGCATCAGCTTTAGGGATCCACGAAGCCCCAAAATTGTATATGAAGTCACTGAGACACAAATTATACCAGGGAGAGAATCATCATGCTCATCAGATTCCTAAGTGAGTCCACGATGTTTAGGACAGACATCCTAGGTTCTGTTAGACCTGACTTCTTGCCTATGTGGCCCTTGCATGACCCTGAGAGTGAGCGCTCCCTTAAGTCGTGTGCCCTCTCTTGCCTCACTGTAATCCCAACCATGTAGCCCAGCACTTGCTGAAGAGTCTTGTTTCCACTCTCTGTCCTCTTTCTTTAATTCTCATGATCACCCTTCTGAATTCCATGTTGGAATGGTGACGGGTTGAAAAGGGGTTGGGGGGCAGTGACGTCAGAGAACTGTACAGAGGAAGAAACACAAGTAGAAAAATTCAGCTCTGTGGATAACCCACTCATGGAAAATGGAGAATTGACAGAATATAGAACCTTCTACTTGTGCTCTGTTTTACTCAGGTTTTCCTCACTTGTACCTCCACTTCATTCCCCCCCAAAAAAAAGATTTTAGAAGATTTCCCAGGGTGTAAAAGATGAAACAAAGAGCACAAATTAAACGTCAGGGAAAGCATAGTGGGAAACAAGAGTGGCGATGAGTGAGGTTGCAGTTCCATCGGGGCCTCCAGATGGGCCTGCACAGGCTGCGATTGAGCTGGCACTTCCCAGAGACCGCTGGAAAAGTCACTCAGAGCAATTGTAACCCTTCTTGACACCACGATTGACAGGAGGACACCATGTGATCTAACGAATAATAGCCTTGACCACATCCTGGGAGCAGATGCCAGAATGAATTTCATGGTGCCTTTTCTCACAATGACCCTGGTATATGCTGAGGGCCCCACACTGAGCACAGTGCCATGGTAGCAGTGTTGAGGGGTGGGGAAGGAGGAGAGAGGGCAACCCAATCCTGTACAGTGTCAGCAAGCCTCTGATCCAGCCTGATGTAGAGGTAGATTTTTCAATATACAGAGAAAAAGGACAGATGCATCTCCTGCAAGCATCTCCCGTTATTGTCTCTCTTATCAGGCGTTAGATGAATGTGGGCTGGCAGGTGGCTCCCAGCAAATGCCTGTGCATCGCTGGTCTCTGTTGCCAGGAGAGAGCACACCCATACTCATGAGCAACATTTGAACGGAGGAGGGGTTGGAAGCAAGGGTCTAACAGGGACAACTTCCATCCCTCCCTCACTCTGTGCAGCTGGGTGAGAGTATCCTTAGCAAAGCCAAGATTCTCCCAGAACAGGTGTAGAATACATTTCAGTGGCTCCTGCTTCTACACGCCCGCCCACTCCAGACACATGCACACATGTTTAGAGGCTCCCTCCCAGCGTCCTCCTGCCCTGGTGATTCTGTGGGTCCTTTGAGAACCGTTTGCTGTAATCACCAGCTCTGCCTCCCTTTCCCTTCAGCGTCTGGTCTCCATGAATATGCCTCTGAACAGTGATGGGACGGTCATGTTCAATGCCACCCTATTTGCCCTGGTCCGGACAGCCCTGAGGATCAAAACAGAAGGTAAGAATCACCCACAGGGCACTGGAAGAGCCACCCAGAAGACCTGGCACACCAGCTAGAGGCGGTCGGCACCTGCAGAGGCCCAGGACCTTCCTGTCCTGCGCGGAGCTGTGGCTCAGCAATAACTCACCTCGGGGTTATAAACCGGGCCTCATCCTGTTTCCTTTGCCTCTTGAATGACCTCTAGCTTATTTATTTTGAACTCTAGCTTTCCATCTTGAAGTCATAGGGTATCGTTCAAAAACCAGAAAAAGGTGAGTGTTACCTGAAGCAAGACCAAGCCTCACCTAAATGAAATTGAATTGTCTGCAAATGGGCCTCTCAAATACTCAACATTCTTTTTTAAACTAAAAAATCTGTGTGGACTCTGGATGGGTAGCCCAGCTGGCTAGAAACTTGTCTTGATATGTGAAGATTGCGGGTCCGATCCCCAGTCAGGGCACATACAAGAGTCAATAAGAGCCTGGCCGGCATGGCTCAGTGGTTGAGCATCAACCCATGAACCAGGAGGTCACAGTTTGATTCCTGGTCAGGGCACATGCTCAGGTTGCGAGCTCGATTCCCAGTGTGGGGCATGAGGGAGACAGCCGATCAATGATTCTCATCAGTGATGTTTCTCTCTCTCTCTCCCTTTCTCTCTCTCTCCCTCTCTCTCTCTCTCTCTCTCCCTCTCTCTCTTCCTCTCTCTGAAATCAATAAAAATATATATTTTTTAAAAGAATCAATCAGGGCACATACCTAGGTTGTATATTCAATCCCCATTTGGTGCGTGTGCGGGAGGAAAATGATCATGTTTCTCTTCTCTCTCTCTCTCTCTCTCTCTCTCTCTCTCTCTCTCTCTCTCTCCCTCTCCCCCCCCCCCCCGTTTTCTTATCTTTTTATCTCCCTCTCTAAAAAAATCTAAAAAATAATAAAAACATATCCTTAGGTGAGGGTTAAAAAAATGCCCTGTGTGGGGAAGGGGTCATAGTGGCAAACGGTAACTATGGTCGAAGTCATCACATACAGTGGCACAAGGGCTCAGCCAAGTCACGGGTAGGGGTTAAGATCGCACCTGTGCTCCACTAGGCAGGCCGTGCTCCCTGGGCCCGTGTCCACATGGAGGGACACCTTCTAGTTTGCACAAAAGCACCCTGCGGGCTACAGCCGCTTTGGCTGCAGTAATCGGCTGTCTGTGTAATTGATGTTTTCCTGAACCATCTGTGGAAAAGGCTATATGAAATGTACCTAAGAGTTGTATTTGCTGTAAGACCTTCTAGCCTGTTATATAGTGTTTCTCAGAGAGTGATCAAAAGACCACCTGCCTCAGATTCAACTATTAGAGTTTCTTTAAAATACTGAGTCCCACGCACCAGCCCAGATCTCCAAATCTGAGGCTCAGAGCAGGCTCGGGAATCTGCACGTTCAACCAGCCACGGTAGGATTCAGACAGGAAATGAAGTTTGAAACCCTCATCTAGAGAACAAAGAAAGCACAGAGAGGAGCAGTATGTCTTCTTTCCCTTCTCATGCTTCAGTCTGAGAGGTGCGGGCTGCCAGCCGCGCGCGTCTTGGGCGCAACGGAAGGAGCTGGGCAGGGAGAGGGAGGCCTGACTCGGATCACATCTGTGACAAGTTGTGTGTTCTCTCTGCTTAGACTTCTTCATCGTCAAATAAGAGGGTAAAACAGGCTGCTACGAGGGGAGTCACTTCAGTGAGTAACCCAGAGAGGTGCCTTCTCTCGGTTAAAGCCTTCCAGAAAATAATAGAAACATCCTAAAGGAAAGAAAACAAAAACAGGCCATCACAATACATGTCAAAAGTAATGAGCTAATCTCTAAAAAAATTAAAAATGGTTCAAGTTCTGCTGCTAAGCTACTAGTAAAAGGAAACAACGAATATACTCTCGGTAGCTAATGCAATAGCTCAATCTGAAGTGGATGTAAGTAGGCCTATTCTTCACACGGGAACAACTGAACACACATTTAATGTATGTGTATATAGCAAGGAGAAAAACTGGAAGGACATTTATTATGTTAAAATGATTCTCACTGAGTATTAGAGTGAGCGGTGATGTTTACCTTCTTCCTTTACTTCTGTTACTTTCCAAATTTCTACAATGACCATTACAGTCCAGGAGGAAAGGTTTCCTTCTCTAACGGAGAAGGTGTGATGACTGCAAGAAGGAATACTGTGCAGGACTTACAGCTTGAAGTAAATTGAGGGAACACATTTTCATTCCTTGGAGGTCTGAATAGCACTGGTGCACGGAGGCCAGAGTCCTCACTGTTGAAGATGCGCTGTCAGCGCAAACCAAGCCCCAGCTAAAGAATACCAACCACTGCTGACAGTGCCAAAGGTGCTGCTCCCAAATACCCAGGACACATGGCCAGGCTCCAGGAAATGAGCGCTCGGGGGTGGGAGAAGCCAGCCACATGGGAACTGCACTCAACAATTAAAGGAAACTTGAAACATGAAGACATTTATCTACTGCATAGCATTGTCCCTACGGCTCACAGCACTGTTTTGTATGCTTAAATTCTGTCTGGTGGGTAGATCTCCTGTTAAGTGTTCTTACCAGAATAACATGAAATTTGGGGGGGCAGGGGGATAGCTACCAAAGGGCCCACAGTGCCAGCTCAGGGGCAAACCTTTATCAGAGACAAACCATCCCCCATAGTGTTAATCTCTTAAGTCTAGAAGACAAAGGCAAGTTCTTAGAAGCCACTAGAAAGAAATGTGAGAAAGCGTCTCAACTTGTGAGGATAAAGTCTTTACCAGTCATCACCCTTTACTGTTGAGCATGGAAGGAATTGGACAGAAATTATCACCTTCAGAGAACCAGTCCCAAGCCACACAAAACTTTGGGATGCAGAAGGAAGATATGTTTAAATACTTAGATGATGTGCAACAACTGCTAGTGACGTTCCCCAGGTACACAGCTAATCATGAGAATAAACTGAGACCTGAAAAAATTTAAAAGTTCTTTTGGAAGATGGATTTGTTGCCTAAGTCCATGGTAGCAGACAGTAGCAGACCGGACAGAAATGTTTCCTCTCACAATTCAGGTGGCCAGAAACCCAAAGTCAAGGTGTCAGCGGGGGTCCCTTCCGGCTCTGACGGGGAGCTGTTCCCTGCCTCTCTCCTGGCTCCTGGTGGCTGCCTCCCTCCAGTCTCTGCCTCCATCCTCTCCTGGCCTTCTTCCCTGTGTCTCTCCACATGTCTCCTCATCTGATAAGGACACCAGTCACACTGGATTTAGGCCCCACCTGATGAGTACAAGCTCATCTTAACTAATCACATACACAAAGACTCTATTTCCAACTAAGATCATATGCCAAGGTTCCATGTGGACATGAATTTGGAGGGAGCGCTATTGAACCCACCTCATAAGGTAAGTATATTTGAGCATTGTATTAATTTGGACTCTTTCACTGCATATGTCAGAAACCACTAGCTACCTTACCCAGGAAGGGAGCATGACCACGAAGGACTCCCTCCACAACTAGAATGCCAAGACTGCCCTTTGGCTCAGGTGACGTTCTCACAGGGGATTCAGGTGTCCACCACTTTCCCTTGCCACCTCTGCTTGCTCCTGTTGGGCTTCCTTCAAAGGGAGCCTATCTGGCAGGGCCACAGAGCAGATTCTAGCGCAGGCAGCCTGACCAGCTCTGGCCGTGCCTTCTCCCTGCAGAGCAGCACTAAGCGATTCAGCACACAGACCTCACTTTATTGCTCATTGCAGATAGGGCAAGATCCTCCACCAGCAAAAGGATTAGCTCTTGCTGAAGGCTCAGCTGATGGTTACCATTTTTTAACAATATTTTTCAATTAAGGTATTTACATTATTTATACAGACACTAGAGGCCTGGTGCACAAATTCATGCATGGGTGGGGTTCCTCGGCCTGGCTGGCGATCAGGCCAATCAGGGCCGTCTCCCAATCGGGGCTATCTGGGGGGCAGGGAGCACAGGAGGTTGGCCAGCTGAGGGAGGTTGGCTGTGGAAGCTCACTGACCACCAGGGAGCAGCTACTGCATTGAGCGTCTGCCCCCTGGTGGTCAGTGTGCATCATAGCTATTGGCCAGTCATCCGGTCATCTGGTCGTAACAGTCACTTTGGCTTATATATATATTGATAATGCTATTATATAATTAATAAACTACAGTATAGTGTAAACATAATGTTTATATGCATTGGGAAACCAAAAACAATTGTGACTGGCTTAATTGCAACATTCACTTTATTGCGGTGGTCTAAAACGGAATATCATAGAGGTCTGCCAGTATTGGTTTCCTATTGCTGTATAACCAATTACCACACTTTTCTTGTCTTGAAACAACACCCAGGTATTGGCTCCCAATTTTGTAGGTCAGGAGGGGAGCCATGGGGTAGCTGAGTTCTGTGCTCAGGGCTGTACAAGGCCAACGGGATATTGGTGAGGATGTGTCCTCTCCCAGAGGCTCCAGGGAAGAACCCACTTCCAGCTCATTCAGGTTGTTGGCAGGATTCACTTCATGCAGTTGCAGGGCTGGCTCTCTGCTGGGACCACTCAGCCCCAGAGGCTGCCTCTCTCAGCTCAGCTCCCAACACGGTGTGTGCTTTCTTCCAGGCCACGCCACCATCTCTCTCACTCCTGCTCCCAGCTGGAGAGAACTCTCTACTTCCACCTTTTGACCCTCTTCACACGTTTATTTTTTGTTTGTTTTGTTTTTTATTGAGGTACAATTGACATATAACATTATAATAGCTTCAGGTATACAACTTAGTGATTTGTTATTTGTATATGCTGTAAAATGATCACCACAATAATGCTCGTTAACATTCATCACCATGTATAGTTATAATATTTTTCTTGTGATGATAACTTTTTTTAATCCTCACCTGAGGCTATGTTTATTGATGTGACAGAGAGAGAGAGAGAGAGAGAGAGAGAGAGAGAGAAACATTGATTGGTTGCCTCCCGTACGCAACCCAACCACAGACCAAACCCGCAACCTAGGTATGTGCCTTGACCGGGAATTGAACCTGCAACCTTTCGGTGTACAGGATGATGCTCCAACTAACTGAGCCACCCATCCAGGGCTTGTGATGAGAACTTTTAAGATCTACTCTCTTAGCAACTTTTAAATTGCAATACAGTACTAACTATAGTCACCAAGCTGTGCATTATATTCCCAGGACTTACTTATTTTATACTGGAAGTTTGTACCTGAGAACTCTCTACTGTTAAAGAGCTCATGTGATTAGGTTGAGCTCACCTAGATAACCTCCCCATCTCAGGGTCATATGTGCCATGTAATATAACCTACTCACAGGGTGAAATCCGTTCTGGTCACAGGCCAGGGACTGTGCAGGGGTGCATATATCAGTGGTGGTGGGAGGCAGGTTGGGGGTATCTTACATCCTGTCTCATAGCTGCAGGCCTCAGCTTTCCTCTCATATGGCAATAAGGCCATTATCCCAGAGGCCACATGGGGTGAACACCTCATTAGCCTGTTTCGCCAGTGGGGAAGGTAGATCCAGAGAATCCAGTGTCTTCAATTTCTGCCTCCAGACTGAGGCTGTGCCACCTGCTCTCCGCAGGAGACTCAGCAAAGGGCTTTGACACTGGGGAGACTGCTCTTCTTCCAATCACCCACATCTCCCTGGCAACCACGTGGCCCTGAGAAATGCCATCCAGGGAGAGCCCCTGTGCTCTCCCGCCAGATGGCTGCTGAGCTCTGTCCAGCACCAGCAGCCTTGTCAGTCCTAAGTGCTGCCCACAAGGAAAAACAGTGTGTGAGGTGAAGGGACGCCCCTGGCCGGCTGAGTAGCAGACCGAGAAGGAATGGCATTGGACAGGGCACAAGACAGGGGAGAAAGAGAGAAACAAGGGATCAGGACCATCTGTGGGGCACTCGATGCTGAGCGCACACCCCATGGGGGGGCCTCCAAGAGTCAGATGATCTTTTCAGCCTTGTGTCTGTCTCCCTCCCCTCAGGGAACCTGGAACAAGCCAATGAGGAGCTGCGGGCCATAATCAAGAAGATCTGGAAGCGGACCAGCATGAAGCTGCTGGACCAAGTGGTACCCCCCGCAGGCGGTAAGTGCTTCCCGGCCTCCGCACACTCGCCACCTGCCTGGTTCTTGAGTTGCTAGGCTTGTGGGAAACCTGCTCTCCCCGAACCCTGCCGGTGGGCTGAAAGGCCCTCCTGGTTAGAAGGGACGAGGGTGCCACACCCTCCACAAACTCAGATATAGGCTGTTGGGTTGGAGATCGAGTCCAGTCCTGCATTTCGCAGATGAAGTCAGACAAGGCCTCTCAAAGCTTGAGGTTTGGCAGAACTTCAAGGAAACTTTTAAGTTTCCCCATAAACCCCTGGCCTGATGGCTCTTGTCATAAATGGGTCCTGAGAGCGCCTTCTGGTGGGAGCTGTGTGTGTCCTTCCCAGGGCATGTTGCTCAGCCCTGTCCACCCACAGCCCCTACCTCTGTCCTGAGCCATAGGTAAAACAGCCTTCTCACACATGTAATTTCCAAAATATTAATATAATGCTTTAACAAATATAAAATGTTTTGAAATCTAATGGCTTTCAATATATAAAGTTATAACTAACTGAAGGAATGCTTGTATGCACCCACGTATAACGATTAAGTGTTTAAAGGAAGTCAGATGATTGAATATTGTCAACATCTTGTTTTTGTCATTTTGAAGTATAAAGCCTAAGTATATTTAAACAACTTTACACACGCACATATATGTACATACACCTACATGCATGCACATGCAAAGAACACATGCTGCCTGAGACAGGCAGGTCAACGTCAGCGGGGACGCAGATTCCATCGGGGCAGGTGAAGTGAAGTCTTCTGTCAACTTACACAGCAGTTATGTTCCTGGAAAATTCTGGATATATTAAAACTATGTAAAATGAAGTTAGATTCTTAGCTCGGATAACTATAAGCAGGTTGTCCCCCACATGGGTGTCCTATCATAATACTTGAAAGAGTGCGAAGCTATTATTTATTGTGCAAAACATGTCTGTCCTTAAGGGCCACATCGAGAGCCATTTAGTACCAGTAGCACCCCAAGTCACCATGTCAACTAAAAACATCCCACCAGCCTCAAAACACTTTTTAAAAGGTGACACCACCCCTGTTGAGAACCACTTCCCAGAGGGAAGGCAGGACTGGGACGAAGTGGAGTCACAGAGGTGGACAGGCGGCACCTGACGGCTTACATATAGTATTTTCTTTGCTCCTTATAACATTTCTATGATGTTTGCTCAAAGAATCAAAGTTCTTAGAAACTAAGTAGCTAGCCCAAGGCTACGCTGTGAGGGCCTAGCAGATTTGGGATTTGAACCCAGGTCTGAGGGATGCCAGAGCGCCAAGCTCTTTCCCCTGCAACACTTCCTCCCCGACTGCCCTGGACAGGGGCTCAGGGTCTTTCCTCCCAATGGCAATGAGGGGGCTGCTGTGGATTTGGCTCCTCTTTGAGGACAATTAGAAGCAGGAGAACCATCGCAAGCCCTTAGATCTGACCCAACCAGCTGACTCCCAGGCCCGTGGCCCTGTCCTTCACAGAGACCTAGGAGGTGGGGCAAAGGGGCTCCTTATAGGACATGAAATATTCTCGTTGGAGACTTCCTGGCTTCTCCATCACATGGTTCATTCCCAAGACAGGGGTCCCAGCCAACCCAATCTGTCTGGTTGAAAGAAAAACCCAAACTTACACAGGAGGAAGGTGCTCCTCCCACCACCCCTCCTGCTGGCCTTTAAGCAAAACTATGTTTGCACTTAGGGGACTGGTTGCAGCGGGTCTGAAGCTTCGGAATCAAATAGGAACAGTAGCAATGTCAGTTCAGTAAACGGAGCAAGGTGGGAAATAATTTTGACAATATGGTATTTTTCTTTAAAAAGGGGGCAATAAGAATATATTGCTCATTTACGGAAAGCATTTGCATAAAGAATCTTTGCAAAAATATTCAAGAAACTAACAAAAAGCTTATCTATTAGGAGGTAGTAACCTGGCAGATGGGAACAGTGGGAGAGAGGCTTTTCACTATATAATTTTTTATATAGTTTTGTCTTTTTGAACCATGTGAATGTACTATCTCTTCAAAATATAAATTTAAAAATTTTTAAAGTTTGGCTGCTGAAAAATAAATTAATAAAGCCCAACTGAATTCCCCTTGTTCATCTCCAATTCCCTGTTCTCTCTTTGAATGTCAGATGATGAGGTCACGGTCGGCAAGTTTTATGCTACTTTCCTGATCCAAGAGTACTTTCGGAAATTCAAGAAGCGCAAAGAGCAGGGCCTCGTGGGCAAGCCCTCCCAGAGGAACGCCTTGTCCCTACAGGTGAGGGGCCAGGGGGGCCACACCCCAAGGAAAGGCCTGGCCACCTTCCTCTGACCTCTGGCCAGGGTCCAAGTCTCTCACCAGTGGGCGGAGCCAAGTCCCTTCAGAAGGTAGATGCGCGAAGGGAACATAGTCCTTTCCCTCCGTGTTCTCTCCACACACACTGCCCGCATGGCCCTGCCTGCTCCGCGGTGCCAGGCTCTGGAGTGGGGCTGAGGTTCCCTGACAGCCCCTGCCACCTACTATGCCTTCATCTCTCCTGGGTACGAGCCTGGGTTCTTCCACTTGGAGCCAGACAGAGCGGTCCCGGAAACACCCTGGTTCACACACACAGGGTGCCTTCTGGGGGCTCCCTGCCTGGGGAGACACGCGGGTGAGTGGCTGGGCGGGGGCCCCGGGTTCACGCGTCCCTCTGGGTTCCAGGCTGGCTTGCGCACGCTGCACGACATCGGGCCCGAGATACGACGGGCCATCTCCGGAGACCTGACAGCCGAGGAGGAACTAGACAAAGCCATGAAGGAGGCTGTGTCTGCCGCCTCTGAAGACGACATCTTCAGGGTAGGCAGATGCTACAGAGCACTCTCCACCTTAATCAAGTTCAGTTGAAGCAGGAGGGTGGACTGGTGTCCTGCCAAGAAAACCCAGGGACTAAGGCCCGAGTTCTATGGCAGATTCCAGCTCTGCCTATCAGCTATTCCCTTCCCTTTTCCAAGCCCAACTCCCTCTCAAGCCAGGGCTCCCAGGACATGGCAGCTCTGAGGGCATCTCAGGCTCTAGGAGGAGGAAGAGGGACCCATTTTCCGAGGGAAATGTTTCCAAGGAGAAAGTACATTAGAAGCTGCAAAGTGATGGCCCTTGGGCCACAGCTAACATGTAGGCCCATTTAGTTCGCCAACATTTGAAAATCGGGCACATTCAAATAAAAATCTAGACTTCTGGTTTCTATTTAAAGCATGCGAAGCCCTGTCGATGTTAGGCTGTGGCCCCCATGGCAGCAGAGGGCTGGAGCCCAGTGGAAGTTGTCCCCTAGACGGGACATGTGTTCTCCAGGTCACAGAGTCCCTCCAGCCTCGCCCCTCCTCCCCTGGGCCGGAGGCTGAGCTTCAGTGTTCACAGTAGAAACAACATGACTGGAATGCTTGGCTCTTACATCCAGCTCTCTCCATTCATTTGTGGTACCTGCCTAATCCCGAAGGCATTTATCTAAGTGTTTCTCCAGTGAGGGCCAGCGCACACCTGTCCCTCTCAGCCCCGTGCCCGGGTCCCCAGGCTGTGGAAACACAGGGAGGCGAGAGGAAGTGGTCCTGCCTGTAGCTGACCTGTCATCACATCCTCATTCTCATCACTGCGAAGTGTGCGTTACTGAGTGGCCTCAGGGACACAGCAGCAGGTTCACACGGCCCTGCCCAGACCCCGCTGACCAACCTTGCCAATAGCTACCTGCCCACTTGCCCAGGACAAGGAAAGAATGCTGGGCATGAGCCCGGTTCCAGATCTGAAATCTCTAAGACACGCCACCACCTCCCTCCCCCCACC